CACCATTCCCGTCTCTGCTCCACCATGCCTCCTCTTCTGCCGGTGTTATATCAATCCCTCGGGCCCGAGGTAATGATAGAACACCAGCGTGAGTCTCCCCTTAACGGCTGGAAACAATAGCCAGCCTGCTATTCCTCCTCTGCCCCCTATTTCTCTGATACTCCCCCTTCCTCCTCTGCTGCCCAGTTTCCTTCTCTGCTCCCCCAGTGCCCACTCTTCTGCCGGCAGTATAAAGCCAGCGTCGAGTCTCCCTTCAGTGGCTGGAAACAATAGCCAGCCTGCTATTGGATATTTTAAATTGCAATAGCGGGCTGGCTATTCCACCCACCCACTGCCTGCTGTCAATCAGCAGAGGAGTACCTGAATGAGAACTTTCTCCTTCAGTTCCCTTTGCTGATTGACAGCATACAGTGGCCGGGTGCAATAGCCAGCCTGCTCTTGGCTATTGCAATTTAAAACATCCAATAGCAAGCTGGCTATTGTTTCCAGCCACTGTATGCTGTGATTCCATTCAGCTGCCTCGGCAGGCAGCTGTCCTTTCTCTAGCTAAAGCTTGGGAAATATATATTTGTATTTTTTGCACTTTCGTGGTGTTATTTCATTATATTGGCTTAGCATTTAATAATTCACATTTTTTTAAATCCATTAAATTAATTAAAATGTCTTGTGTATACATACAATTATTTAAAAAAAATATTTATAAGGGGGTGATGGAGTGGAGTGAGGCTCCGTCATCCTTGCCTAGGCAAAGAATGAGGAAGGTGGGTAGGAAGTACCTAATGAAGAAGGTATTTGTTACCCCCAAAAAATCCCAAATGTGTCATGGGAGGGGGATGATTATTACTATATAATATCTTAAATGCGAGTGACGGTCCTCTTTAACTGCATGTGAAAATGCTGCTCATGTACACATACACATGTAGCATTCATCTATGAAAGTGTGTTACTGCATACGCATTAGCTGTGGAAGGGCCGCCAAAGCACTTCACACCCAACCGCATGTTTGTTACTTCTATCGTCATTGACTATGGGAAGTAAGCTTGTGTGTACCACAGATAAACGCATTTTGAAAAACTTACTACATGAATGAATTTGCAGGTCTGTCGCTATATAGTAAAGCCAGGAACAGGATAACAATAACAACCCTGTATCCTGTACATTTAAAAAGGAAGTCACAGTGACCGCTCCCGTAGTTTTGTCTTTAGAAGTTCACTTTGAGCTGGAGGTCAGCTGTTGGAATGGATCATAGTCATAGTCTTATGTGTCCACTAGAGGGCACTAGAGCAGCTACCTTCTGACCGCTTTGTGTGACGGCAGAAAATCTACACATGTCTCATTAGAGCAGTGTTTCTGAACCTTTTAGGAGTTGGGGCACATTTTTAAACTATAAAAAAAAAATCTTGAGGCACCCCGGTGTGTCCTGTGAATGTGTGCCATACTCGGAAAAAAATGTGTGCTTTGACAGCACCCAGACCCCCCTCCCCACAGAACGACCATATAAGACCATATACTGGCAGCACAGAGACCCCCCTCCCCCTGGGAACGACCATATACTGGCAGCACCGAGACCCCCCTCCCCCTGGGAACGACCATATACTGGCAGCACTGTGACCCCTCCTCCCCCAGGGCTAGTGTGTTGTAGCCACCGCTCCAAGCTCGCTCCTGTGATCCATTGTAGTCCATCACGGGAGTGATCTTGGAGCGGTGACTACCTTTACAACAAACACAGGGAGCATGGGAAACAAAAGTAGTCACCCTCCAGAAGGAAGGACAGTGTCAGCACCAATTCAGAGATGATTTGAGGATCTACAACCGAGTGATACACAAATAAGGGACATTTTGTGAATAGTTAAGTTACTTGAATGTATTTTTGAAGATTTCACTCCTGAGTTTTTGGCTCAGCTACATCAGTGATGGGGGTACGGAAGGTGTTTCTAATCTTTCTGATCGATCATCCACCCCCATTGATCATCATTGGCAGCCACTTTGAGCTTTTTCCATTGGGTTTCATAAAAATGTAAACCCGAAATATTAAAGTGACATTATAGGATAATATTTTCCCCTCCCCCAATGTTAATGTCAGCACTTACCTTAAAGGAGAATTATGGGGTTAGGGCTTTTCCCCATAGTTCTCCTTAGGGTAACGGGAGGACACAAACTAGCGTCCTCCCGTTACCCTAAGCTCAGTATACCGCGAGCTACAGCTCGCGGTATACTGAGACGCCGCAGCGGATCCCAACATCGATGTCGAGATCCGCCCAGCTGCGTGAGTGACAGCTGGCTCTGCCTATCTAGAGGCAGAGCCAGTTGTACCCGCCCCCTCCCGATCCGCAAGTCAGCGCTGGCGTATCGGAGCAGGGAGGGGGGGAATCCAGCCCCTCCCCTGTCTCGGTAAAGAGCCGTGACAGGATCGAGAGGTGAGCGAACGCTGGTATGTGTTCGCTCACCTCCCGATCTACTGAGCCGACCTGTGACAGTCTCATTGTCACAGGTCGGCTAGAACTATGAGGTGAGTGCGAGCCCGGGATATGCATGGCGCCTCTGTCACAGGGTATCAGAGGGAGCTCGGTACACGAGCTCCCTCCGGTCCCCCCTCCTCTGAAAGAATGCGGAAGTGTTGTATATTACATCACTTCCGCATTCTTGTGTCACTCTCCAGCTTCAGAAGCTGGAAAGAAGCGGATGGAGCAGATCTCTGCTTTATCAGCTTCTTTTGGGGGGTCCTAGGTGACATTAGGGGTCTTGGAGACCCCTGATGTCTCCATAAAGAGGACTTGTCACATTTTGCTATCACATAGGGGGGTTTATTAGCCCCCGTATGTGATAGCAATAAAGTTTAGTGGGGGAAAAAAATGGAAAAAAAAAATTAAAGTCCCCCCCAAATAAATTTTAAGTTACACATAAAAAAGAATTATTATAAAAATGGCCAATTTTGGGTATGGTAGCTTTCTGCGATTTCGCGGGTGCGCGCAATTTTAAAGCTTGACATGTTTGGTGTCTATTTACCCGACGTGACCCTGACTTTTATTATTACCCAGTTTTTTGGTAAAATATAAATGTTTTCTGACATAATGTTAAAAAAAAAAACTTTTTTTTTTCCAAAACTTTCAGTAATTTTTCCTAATTATAGTAAGCACGCGTCCATAGACTTACCTTGCATCTCTGCTCGTCTCCTGGCAAAATATCCAAACTGCACATGCGCCCGCCCCAAGATGCTTTGCGGCTGCCGAGCAGTTTCAGATTCTTGGGCGGGAGCGCGCGGTGGAGACGTGGTAAGTTTAAACCGCTGTTAGCGGTTAAAAAAACAAACTGTTTGCCTATATCTCCTGCTTGCTAGCCATATATATAGGCAATAAAAACGGAGGGTTTAGAACCCCTTTAATTTTAACACATTTTTCACCTTCTTTGTCTATATGAGGTGGCAGGTCGAATGCACTACTCAAGGGGTAGGCAGCCTTGGCACTTTGGCTGTTGAACCACAAGTCCCATGAGGCATTGCAAGACTGACAGCCACAGGCATGAGTCCCAAAGGCAGAAACATGGTGGGATTTGTAGTTTCAGCACACCTGGCGTGCTTAGATTGCCTTCCCCTGCACTGGAAAGACTCTGTTACATTTATAAATTACTATATAGTATTTGGGTCTACTATAAACAATGTATTCAACCGATCTCCAGCCAGCTAGACCAGGGGTGAGGTAACTCTGGCCCTGCAGCTGTTGTGGAACTACAAATCCCACGAGGCATTGCAAGATTCTCACAGCCACAGGCGTCCTTTACCAACAATAGTTTTTGTGTGAGGGTCTAGCTCAGAGGTGGGCAAACTCCAACCCTCCAGCTGTGGTGAAACTACAAGTTCCATCATGCATCTGTCTCTAGGTGTTATTCCCGGAGACAGAAGCATGATGGGATTTGTAGTTTCACATTTGTAGTTGCCCACCTCTGAGCTAGACCCTCACAATAAAATATTGTTGGT